ACTGCCGGTGCAAACCTTCAGAGGGAGGGGGGAGGGGGGGGGGGGCGGACGCTTCAGAGGATGCAGCCCATTGGCTGAGATGGAAGAACCCATCCTGAAAAAGAAGCGACCAACTGGCTGGCTCCCATCCCATTGGCTGAAGGGAGAACACCAGAGAAGGATTTTGTTTTCTTTAATTCATAGAAAACGAGTTTTTAGAACCTGAAAAAAAATTGGGAAAACCATCTTCTACATGCGAGAACAGAGTCACACCACGTTGTACAACGCTGCTAGTGTGTTCCCGGACCCTGGACATGGGCTAAAATTGGAACCATACACAGAAGATTAGCATGATGATGATAGAAAAGCAGGGTCAGTCGCGACCAACAAAGCTGAACACATAACCACGATGAGCGCAGTAATCATATGTGATAACAATCTCGAAAAGAAACTTCGAAAAGATAGAACATTAAGCATGGCCCCTGCGCAAGGATGGCACGCATAAATGGACAAATGATCCCAAATTTGAAAGAGAGAAAACGATGATTAAAAGAAAAAACCTCTTTTTTTTCTTAAACTAAAGAAATCTCATCTGTAGTATCCAGCATCAAAAGACGGCAGCAAAAGAGGAATGACTTGGAAGTGCAGTCAGATCCGATGACTCAGCCGCGGTAGCGTCCAAAGGCATGTCAGCCATAGCTACCACGTGTCAATCACTGCGGCGACGGCGGAATTTGCCTTACCGCGGCCGCAACAGCAATAGACGTGCTAGCTTGAGATTTCCCCCGAATAGAACCCACGCATCCGTCTAAGACCCGACTTTCCGTCGAGATATGGCGATATACAGTATTTATTGAGCCGTGCGCTCTACTCGGGTCAAGACGGCAGCCAGTGTGACAGCGGCAAGGAGGGCGGCCAAAGCACTGTCGCAACGAATGCCACCATACTACCTTCTTCATCCGAATGTGACGTACCGTCATTATTGCCGTATTCAGACTGGAACATGCCCCCAAATACAGCTATAGTATAATGACCGTACGTTGTATTCGGGAGAAGAAGCTAGGTGCTGCGGTACTTGTCAGACAATGGGCCTGCCAATTCGTCGCACCGAAGTCTCCGGAGTCTTCCTTCCGCTATTGAGCTGTAGTGCCGCGAGGCACTTTCTTTTCTGTCTGTGCAGTGTGCACGACACTCCAGAGTATCCATTCTCTCTAACTAAATTTGCGCCGTGCTCAATAAGCTACAACCATAGGGTCTGGCTCCAATACTCACCAAATAAATGTGCAAAATGAGGATGCATCTTCCGCTAGAACATGGAAAGATACACCGCCTCCTTTGAAAAAGCAACAAGCGAGCGCGCAACACACATACGCAAACACGCAAACACGCAAACACCCAAACACGCAAACGCCCAGACAGAAAAGAAACGAAAGTGCCTCTCGCTCTACTCTCGAAATGCGCAAAACGAGAGTGAATCTTCCGCTATAACATGGAAAGATACACCGCCTCCTTTGAAAAAGCAACAAGCGAGCGCGCAACACACATACGCAAACACGCAAACACGCAAACACCCAAACACGCAAACGCCCAGACAGAAAAGAAACGAAAGTGCCTCTCGCTCTACTCTCGAAATGCGCAAAACGAGAGTGAATCTTCCGCTATAACATGGAAAGATACACCGCCATGATTTTTGTCTTTCGTGTGTGCATGTCGTGAGTAGTGGAGCGACGCCCAAAGCACGCCCTTTTCCATTCAAAGACACGCACATAAACGGGTTGAAAATACGGGGTTCAAAAAGCGAACCAAAGCAACCCCAAAAACACGAAAAAGATGCCTCCAGACGAGACGCAGGGTATAGATAGATCGCGAGGACGACGACGAAATGAAAGAGAACCATGGAGAGTTGGGGATCGGGGGGRAAGGGGCAGTTCAAGAGAGTGATGGATACTCACAGTCTTTCTTTCCATCGCAAAAACTGAACTCCGGGATGCACCTTCGTCTCCCGGACTTGCATTCCACTTCTCCTCGAATGCACACCCGCGTGCCAGTTCGCGGCGAAGCCTGAGCAACTGCAGTCATACGCGCCTTCGACGCGATATCGAGATCGCTCATCACCACCACAAGACAGAGAAGGCAACCCATCGCATATCGCGCGCTTCTCATCGACCATCGCCAACCGATCGCCGGCTCCTCCATGTTCCCCTCCACAAGTCTGCAATACGCTCCCTTTTTCCTTTCTCCTTCCTTCTGACGATCCAACCCTACGATTCCTGGTGTCACATCATAATCAATTCATTGCAATTACAATCATAAACAAACAATGCTTCTCTCTGTCTCTCTCTCTGTCTCTCTCTCTCTCTCTCTCTCTCTCTCTCTCTCTCACACACACACACACACACACACACACACGCACACACACACACACACACACACACAGACAGAATCAGTTACGAATGTTAGGTGGCAATACAAGACACACAATGTCATACACATATGCGTAGTATATATGACTATATCTATACTCGCATCCAGATGGTTATCTACACCTGGCTACACAGATGGAGACGTGTATATAGAACTGGGAATTCGTCCGGTGACAGCACTACAAAAGCACGCGGGGCATAGTCGGCCATACCTGCCGGCCAGTGGTGACGCTGTTTGTTGTCCCTGATTGCTGTGCTCGCGGATGCTCGCTCCCACTCGACAAACGCCGCCAATTGCAATTATGGCACTGAGACTGAAAGAAGCTTCCGACCATTCAGCGATGGTTGTCGTCTCCTCCTGAGACACGTCGGGAGACTCTTCTCGAGACAGCAATTTATAGGTATAACTTCTGAAGAAGGTGCAGAACAGAAAGGAGCCTTGATCCCAAAAAAAAAAAAAAAAAAAACAAAGGAGCCTTGAGCAGAATCAGGAAAAAAAAGGGATCCAGCGGCCTACCTCAGTTGGTAAGGCACGCAAGTGGCATTCAGGAGGTCTTGGGTTCAATCCCCATTGGCCTCATGCACCTTCCTGGGCAAGCTTGGCGCCCACCACCTTGAGATATGCTGTTGGTCCCCCCGAGTGGCATCGAGCAGAGACTGCCGATGTTCATAGGGGGAGGGGACCACCACTGGAGGGAAGGCACAGTGACTGGCCCACCGAAGAAGCCCGGTCCTGACTCCTGATGCTACCGGCTGGCCCCTGGCCGGTATCGCCCACCTGCTGTAACAGGTATCCCACCTGCTGGTGGGTGCAGCTCCCGCATGTTCCCTCGTTGGAGGCTTGAGCGCGGATGTGGCTGCTACGGGGTTCCCCGTAATACTATAATGACAATGAAAAAAACGGCCTGAAAGGCCGTCCTGTCCAGATTTGACAGGTAATTAGCCTTTRAAAAAAAAAAAAAAAAAAAAAAAAAAAGGGGAAAACTGTTGAAATGCCCGTGAAAGTTTGGGTACCTCGTGGGATACCGCTAAAAGGCATGGGTATGACGAAATGCCCCTATGACAGTAGCGAAACTTTGCCAAATACCCCATTCGCAAATTGACTTGTCATGTTATGCATATACCCCTACCAGGCCCTTAGCAACTTGTCTATATGCCCCAGTATTTGGACAGAAGGGGCTCCTATACACGTTCATGGTGCTGGGGCATTATGCTGGTGGGCAGAATGCACGAGAGCATCAAAAGAACACCTCTTGTCGACCTAGCCCCTGTGCATGAATGGTACACCCATCAACCGTTGATAAGCAGACAGAGGTTTGAATACTCGATGGAATCAGATCAATCAAATCAAGGGGTAATTTGCAAAATACCCTCATGTAACCTGAGATATGTGTGCCAAAATGCCCCTGAAAGATGTGGGTAGAGCGGAATGCCGTTTTGGGCCGAAATCTTTGTGTTGTGCCCCTGTCAGGCGGGTGTGCAACTTTGCAATCTGGGCCTTGACCTTTTGCAATAGCACCTAGGAGAAGTTGGCAAGTACTGGGGCATTTTGCAAAGTTGGACGGACCCGGTAGGGATATATTGCAAAGATTGGGGTCTAACCGACGCCAGGGGTATGTCATAATTTTTTTTAGTCAGAGGGGCATTCCGCTCTACCCACATCTTTTAGGGGTATTTTGGCCTATATCTCAACTTATCTGAGGCTATTTTGCAAATGTTACCCAACATCAAACGGCTATGAATTAGTTCCTGACTCCACCACCAAACGTTCAAAGTCAGAGCGAATCGTCCGCTAGAACACAGGGAAAAGAAAAAAAAGAAAAAAAAGAAAAAAGATAACACCACCATAATTTTGTCGTTTTGTGCATGTGGCGAGTAGTGGAGCGAGGCTCTTACCTGTCTCTGGGACCTCTCCGCGGTCAGCTAGACGATGATGATGCGGCAAGGCGGTCGCGGTTTCCGAAAAAAAAAAAAATCGAATCCGTAACGCCCAGGCCCTACTCGTGCTATGTTCGTAACTCGCGGCCAAGCCACACTCGTGCTATGTTCATGCTATGGAAGGATGAATCTGTCCTCGATCAAGGCCATGTTAATGCTTCCAATGACGAACATAGCACCAGTGGGGCCTGACCCTCTGCCAGCAAACAGACAACTCCGATAAATCTAAGATAGCCCGTGTGGCTGAATGGTATGCCGATGAGCTCCTGAGAAGTAGACTCGAGCTCCAGCCCAGCGACAGATGAGTAAAATGTGACTCTCATCAATGACCTTTGCCCGGCCAGTTCGAGCACCCTCAAGACCGTCGCCCAACTGGGAAAAAAAAAGGAAGACACACACCTCTAACAGCGAAGTTCAAAGTTCGAGATGTTTTAAAAAAAGAAAAGAAGAAGAAGAAGAGTAGTTCAAGATGTCCACGTCACGACGATCTCAAAAGATTTGGTCCAAGGTGACTCGGCAGCGCCAATCTCTGGGCCTGGTTGCACTACTCTCCATACGCCGAGTTTGGCGAGTCGGCGCCTGGGGCCAGGTCCCAGTAGCAAAGAGGATCCTATTAAGCTCCTGAATCTGGACTTGCTTTGAGAAGAGATGCATAAAAGCAGTTCAATCTCGATTTTCTGCACCTTTTCGGCGAAGCCGTATAGATTCCGGCGTTCCATCCAATTCTCCTTGGTAGTGGGACCTCGCCCCTGTGGTCTCGGCCCACATGCAGCAGTGTAGAATAGTTTTCTGCTCCCTGTGTGACTGTGGGATCACTGCGAACCTTTGATCATCTGACAAACGGACGGTAGGATTACGCAACCCGCCCTTTCGGAAGGGGAGCCAGCAGCCTACTGTTTTGTTCGCAGCTTTGATCATCTGACAAACGGACGGTAGGATTACACAACCCGCCCTTTCGGAAGGGGAGCCAGCAGCCTACTGTTTTGTTCTGGCTGCGCTTACTGCGAGTGTTTTTTTGTCGTTTTGTGGGGTTTCTTTTTCGGGAAACGTCGTGGGCGTTGAATGGTTTTTGTCGGGGTCTTTTCGGGGTTTAGGGAAAAAAGTTGCAAGGTTGCGGTCGCGGCTAGGAGACGTACCGGTAGGTGTGAGGGGTCGTACTAGTGTTAGGTCTAGTGGTCGTTTGATTAGGTCGTTCGGGTTTGTTGTGGACGGTGACTCGGTTTTCCTTTTTGGGAAAGAATGAATCGTATAGGGATGCGTATAAAGTGGGTAGTGAGGGGTCTCATGAGGGGTCATGAAAAGTTGTAACCGCGAAATTCTTTGCGGTCATTTTTTTGTTCGATCCGTAGTGGAATGGGTAGGTAGTAAAAAAGGGGTCATGAAAATTCTTTGTCGTGAATACTAATGGGACTTGGCTCTTATATTTCGATTTGTTTCGACCGGATTCTCGAATACGGGTCTGTTTGGGGCCAAGTCCAGCGTTGAGTTACCTGAATGCCTGAATCTGGATGCTTTTCAGGAGATCTGCAGAAACGGTGTTGAGTTTGCTGATTTCCTGAGCGTCTCCACAAACACGTCTAGATTCGGGCGTTAAGGTAGCTGAATGCTACTAATGGGACTTGGCCCTTATATTTCTATTTCGACTTGTTTCGACCGGATTTGAACACGGGTCTGTTTGGGGCCAAGTCCCAGTTCCCAGTAACAGTGTTGAGTTCGCAGCCAGTCGAGGCAGCGGGGTCATGACAGGTCATGAAAAGTTGCGACGACTCCGCGAAATTCTTTGCGGTCATTTTTTCGTTCGATCCGCCCTTGGGGGTTCTGGGGGGAAGTCCTGGACGAATAAACGGAGCGGTGGTGCGGTGGGTGTTCGGGAGGAGTACAGGGTCAGATCGGGCCTTGCTGCACTACTGTGCAAAAAAATGTGACTGAATCGTCCACTAGAACATGGAAAGATACATCGCCATCTTTTTTGTCTTTTGTGCATGTAGAGAGTAGTGCAGCGGCGCCCATCCTCGCGTCGACGCAGTAGTCGTGCTCGACCCGTGGCTTTGCCCCACGGCTTGCGATTCGTTGCCCTCTTCGTCAACGCCGTTTGTCGTGTTGCGGCGGAGGAGGAGGAAGAGCGTAACGGCGGCGGCGGAGGAGGAGGAAGAGCGTAACGGCGGCGGCGGCGGAGGAGGACGAGAAGGAGGCAGCACGGGGAAGGGCGAAGAGCAGGCCGTTGGAGTCTCTCTCTCTCTCTCTCTCTCTCTCTCTCTCTCTCTCTCTCTCTCTCTCTCTCTCTCTCTCTCTCTCTCTCTCTCTCTCTCTCTC